CATTGATTTGGTGGGAGGTTTTGAATGGGTTTATAAGGCTTGGGTTTGGTACTTGGGGTGTGCCCCAAGGGGTACCCAAGTGTTTTAGAGGGAGAGGTTATGGGCAAAATGGGCTAGACCCATTAGACCCAAAAATCACCACACGCGCACTGCTGCCGCCGGCCGGGCTGGGCTTGGGCGCGGGTGCGTGGTGTGTGGTTGGGCTTGTTCGGCCCAATACTAATCTTTTTGGGCCAAAAACATTTGAATTTATTTTTATTTTTTGGTAAAATAAAATCCATAATTCAAATTAACCGGAAATAATCTGGTTCGATTTTTTTTGTACATCCAAACAGGGCCCTTCCGTTTTTTGAACCCAACAGCTCTAAATCTGTTTGAATTTCAAACCAAACAGTGCCTAAACAGTTTGTATCTGTTTAATTCAAATTGAACAGGTACAATACCTGTTTAATTCAAAATGGAAAGCCACCAATCCATCTATAAATAGACTAAGCCCCCCCATTTGGAGAAGATACTCTAATTTTCGTACTCCATCTTCTGCTATAAATTTATTCTTCATTTTGCATTACAGAGAGTATAAACACTTAGTGTGTTCAACGAAACGAACGAATAAATTGTAGTGCTGCTTTTATTCGTTGATAGATCATTTTATCTTGGGAGATAGACGTCCAGATTCTGAAAGTACCATGGAGAGGACGAATCTGTCTTTAGGACACAGTGTTAAACACTGGACTTGATCAGATAGTTATTCAAAAGAAATTAACCAAGTAAGTTGTTTAATTTTTATTCTGCTTTTTTTTGTTTATTTAATCAGATTTTAATTTTGTTTTTGTAACAAAATAAAATATGTTTTTATTTATTTATTTTTATTTCGAGTTTGATTTTTGTAATCAAACAAATTCTCTCATTTTCTTTATTTCTTTATATTCTTATTGTTGTTTACATCATGTGAATCTTATGTAAATCTTATACTTATGTGAAATATTTTGTAAAAGTATTAATAAAATATTTAAAATTTCTAATAGTACTCTAAATTATAATCATAGACGGTAAGAGAGGAGATGGTTGGTCCCCTGCTATATAGTCTTACAACAATGCTTGGTAATTTGAATTTTTATGGTCTGAATGGCTCAAATGTCTCAGAACGACATCGTTTTAGAAGTAAAACGACATTATTTTAATACATTTGAGATATTTAAATTATACAAATTCAAATTACTAAGTATTTTTGATAGTCTTAGGTACTATCTGTTGAGGGAAACATTAGACTGACAATTGCGATGTTCTTGCTTTTTAATTTCAACAATTGGATGAACCTCTCCTTTTAGATTTAAAAACAAAAAACAAAAAAGTCTGTCAAAAAAAACAACACTAGTATTCTGACCTAACTGAATTACTAAAATTGCCTTCAACGATAATTCATTTAACTTAATTTTTTAATTGCATACAATGTACATTCTCATTTGAAGCACTTCATAATTCTCACCTCAAATACTTTATGATCTCAAGCCACATAGTCATAACCAACTTTATTAGAGCATTTCTAACGTTATTTTTTTCTCTTTCTTTTTTTTAATTAAAGTTGAGGGAAAATTTAAGTTAAAAATCTCAACTGATACCAAATATTTCAATGTCAATTTTTCAATTTTTATTAAACAATCGGTCAACTGGGAAGATGTCCGAACAGTCGATCAGCTTGTATAAATTGTCTGGAAGGACATCCTCCCGGTCATCCGTCCTTTTGATTTTGCAAGCCAAACAACCGACTAATCGTCCGATGTGCAACTACCTACAATAATTTGATGAAACGCTAAAACTTCTCTCAATTTGATAAAAATTTTGAGTTCTCTCTCATTTGATATTGATTTGATATCATGGTTGAAATAACAAGACGATACTTATTTCATTAAATTTAAATTTGATAAAAAAAAAAGAATAAGCATTGAAAACACTCCTACTTCAAGCCATATATCAGTATGTATTTGACTATTTAAAATAGAAAAATTTTATAATGCATGTCATAATGTCCTGTTATTTTTTTTTTTAATATTCGGTCTTATCTTAATGAATTTCTAAACGCACAATAAGAATTGTATAAAACAAAAATCTAGAACAAAAATGAGTGAGACCCCAATTGGGAGTGACCCCCACCACCCGTAGTGAATGTTGATTGGTCTAAAAAAAAATTTTTTTTTTTTTTTGATCTCTTTAACCCCCACGTGTATGTGGAAGTGGCAAGGGCCTGTATCAGTTTTGAATCTAGAAATATGATGATTCAACTGAAAAGTGCAACACAAAGGCTTGGGAACACACACACACACACCAAAACAAAACAAAAAACAATTCCATACCAATTTGGTGCTCTTGGTCTCTCCTTGGTATATGGTTTTTGCCTCAGCACTTAAAATCTTCTTGTATTTGTTTCGTTTCCTACCAATCAATAAAGTTGATTGACAACAATTTTCCTCTTTATTCAAACCAAACTTTCAGTTTTTCTGATCTTACAAACATGCATTGGCTACTCATTCTTACTTCAACAAAGGACTAGCAGCACACACCACTTGAGCTAAAATCCTTTATGCACAAACAGGGACACATACATACACAAACACTCTCTTCAAAAAAAATAAATAAATAAATAAAGGGAAAAGAAACATACTCTTGCGACATTCCAATGCCATCTGGTGTTAAATACAAGTGGGAAACAGCTGCTGTCATACTTAAATTGGAAACACAATTCTACTTTGCATCAGAAATTGAATAATTCCAAAAAAAGGAAAAAAGAAGATTAAAAAAAAGGATGCACCTCACTCTCAAAGTTGAGGAAATAACATATAAAGGGCAACAATATATATAGAAGGGAACCCTCTTATCACCTTAGAGAGAGAGAGAGAGAGAGAGAAGCAAAATTGAAAGATTTTCTTTAAAATCAAGCAAGTAATTTAAAAAAATAAAATATTGAAAAATGCATAACATCAAGAACAAACACTTAACATGGGTTATAAGACGTCAAAAGGTTCAGGCAGATGCTCAAATCCATTATCAAAGATGGGTCCTTGATCAGACTTATCATCAACACTGTGCAGCCAGTTTGTGTTCTTCAAGTCTTCCTTGAGTAGAATTGCATCATACCGGGAGCTCTCATAGATGTCCCCTTCAGTGAGTTTTGCTGAAAGTCGACACTTCTCTTCTTTCGTCCCATTTTCAGGAGACCTATTGAGATAGTCTCCGTTTTCTGAAATGACACCATTATTGCTTATAGGCAGGTTTCCGTTGACAGAAGCTGGAGCACTAAAAGCACGACCGGTTTGGCCTTTTTGTTTGGCAGACCGAATGCTCTGAGGGAAGAGGGTGGTACCCGAAAGTGGACGAATGGCACCGTTACTATTTCTGATGTCCTAAAGAGTAGAACAGAAACATATTTAAGATTTTTATCCGACATGATAAAGCTTATGTCCCCTACAACAAGAAAATGGTAATGTATTTTATAATTTAGATTCCTAGAATTACTTTGAATTTTGAAACACCATAGAAAGACCTGAAAACACGAATATCAATCCACGCATGAACAAGTCTCCTTTTTGTATAATGTAATATAGGCTAGATAAGTGCAGATATTATTTCCCAATCTATCACAAAATGCCAGGAAGAAAGAGTATGCATACCATATGTCTGATAGCCATGTCCAGTGATTTCTTTGAGATAGTCCTCCCAAATCCTGAGCTATCTGTGGATGTTGCTGAAGTCTTTATAGGTTTCCGCGTTGATAGTTCTGAGACAAGTGATGATGCCTTACGAGACTCCACTGTATCAACAGCTTGCCCATTGGAATGTGAACGGCCCCTTACGGAGGGTTCTGTGAGTCTTCCCCTAGAGACAATGGGTGATGGTTGTCTTCTTGGTAAATTTCCAGGAGTTGACATTTCTATATTCCCCTTCACAGTAACAGCCGCACCAGGCCTGGACCTACCAGCAGAAAGTGGCCTGTCCGGCAATGTTGTTCGTAGGTTTGGTGGTGTCTCAAGTGAGAAATCAGGAAGAATCATTGGCTGTGGTAGGGGCCGAACTCGTGGACTAGGGGAGCTAGGCCTGGATGATGTTGATGCATTGCGCTCATTAGATAGAACACGCCCAGATGATGTTGAAGGTCTTGTTGCTGGAGATAATGGAGATGAAGAAGGTACTAAATTCCGACGAGTAGGCGTTGAAGGCCGAGAAGCTGACCGTGTGGTTGGGGTATTCAAGTTTGCAGGAATTTGGGGCCTAGAACTTAGAGTTGAAGGTCTTGAATTTTGGGATGGTTTGGTTCTCTCAATGGAAGAGCTGGTGGGTGCTGGACGAGCTCTAGAAGGAGTTGAGGATCGGGATGTCACTGAACGGGCAGATGGAGTGGAAGGTCGGGCAGATGGAGTGGAAGGTCGGGCAGATGGAGTGGAAGGTCTGGAAGATTGAGTGGAAGGTCTTGCAGTAGATGAGGAGCGAGTCGTGGGGGTAGAAGGTCTTGTGTAAGATGAGACTGAAACTGAGCTTGTGTTGAGGATTGAGGTAGATTTATTTGAGTAGGTACTATATTGACTACTAGAGATTGAAGGGCGTGTCGCTGAAATGCTTCTGATTGATCTCATGTGATTATTGCTCTCTGATTGCGATACTGAAAGCTGAAATTGAAAGATTGGCCATTTATAATTTCTAGCTCACCAACCAATTTATGAAATACCATTTACCATAAACAAATCTTTATTGAATAAAGATCTATGCTAAAAATAGATAATAAAAAAGAAAATTACTGAAATAGGACCTCGATTGTTTGAAAAAGGGAAAAAGGAGGTATTACGTTAGGTTTACAATCTACCAAAGAGAGATGGTACTGGCGAAGGTTTACAATCAACCAAAGAGAGATATTACTGGAGAAGCCATTAGTTAATTTACGTGGGTAATCCATGGTGACATACAGTGCTTTGTTCAGCAAGGTTGGCTTGCAGCCAAATTAGTGGAAACGTAGAAATAGAGAAGCAACCTACGACAGCCTAAACCACATCAAAAGAGTCAGTTTGGATTAGTACCATGGTTGACCAGACCCCCAGCTGGTCTCCAATCCATTGTGTGGATTTCACCCCTTGACAAAAAGAATGTCTCCCCACTGTCCATAGTATTCACTTTCATAATTTTCTAGTTCCTACAGACCCTTGAGCCCTATATATGTTTTTGAATGCTCTCAGAAATACCAAAATAAATAATTAAGGCTAGTCTGGAAGTCAGCTTAAATACATCGTCTTGGACAAGTATAATCTCTCAGACGATATACCAATTGACCAGTTTTAATAAGTTCCTTAGGATTAGATTCCCACAGGAAACCTATCAGTCTCAGCCTTTAACAGACAGGATTCAGAATTCACTCTTTCATGATCAGGCAAGGACAACTGTCCTATATCAGATCAGAAGAGACAACCATTTAATACTATCACTGTACCATTGTCTCTGAGAGACCAAACCAGTTCTATAGATTGGACAAGCTTACTAAAATAGGTTGGCTTTAGGATCAGCAAGTTCTGATATCAGGCAGATTTCTCGGTTTCCAAACAGCTAGAAGAGGGAAAATTGTCTGGAGGTGGGTTACTCTATATGCATCACACGCAGATAAAAGCAGAGGCAAACGCACCAGAAATGTAGAAGAAAAATCTTATATAACTTATAAGAAAGAAAACACAAAGTTATACCCTTGAAGCCTTAGTTGTAGAAATTGATCTAACCAAGGAACTGCTTCTTGGAGCTGATGAGGGTGGTTGAGACTCACTTCCATCTGATGAAGGAAAAAGAGGAGTTCCAGGAGGAGTGAGCAGCCTATGAAATGAAATGGTATAACAATAAATCAGAAAGCCACAATAATGAGTAGTTGCTTGGTATTTCAATCAAGTTTCACCAAAGTAACTATCATAGCACAAGAAAGAGCTTCATAGAGATGTCAAATTTCCAATTAACCAAAATAAGGACATCCAGTTTTAACTTGTTTGTATCCTCAAAATACTATATAATAATAAATAAAAATAAAAACTAGTATCTTCAAGACAATTGCGAGTAGAGAACTTATGCATTAAAGATATAAAAAAAAATAGAAAAAGAGCAGAAAGATGTATTTCAATTCCAAAATCATCATTCAGAAAGAAGTTCATGCAGAATTATGTGGAGAAGGCTTGAAATTTTTTTAAAGTTTACTGGGAGACATGCTTCAAGGTGTTTATCAAAAGAAGACCCTCTGAACAGCCAGAAGCATTAGAACAAAGTAAAAAAAATAATTGGCTGTACATCTGTTTCCCAAAGAAAAAGCTGTGTGATGTTAATGTGAACATGCCAGGCGAAACTTGGTCTGGGTGTGAAGATTAGGCAGTTTGACAACCAATCCCCAAAGTTTTGTCTACAGAAATTGCCAACACAAAAATATACTAACATGACCGAGGTGTAATTATTACCTTCCTCAGTTCCAATAAAGTCTCTCAAGAAGCGAGTGCATGTGTTGAGGTAGGGGGAAGTCGGATAGCGCATTATAGTCTGACCCAAATTCTATCTTTAATTTATGACCTTTAGTCCTTGGCTCTATCCCATACAGTATACATACTTATCAAATCTGCACCTGAACACCTTGAACTCATTCCAGGCCCTAGGCCATGAAGGTACCACTGTCTACCTCTAGGCTTTTGACATTCACTTCTAGGCTTATTTTGTCACCACTACTAGGTCTTGATATTCTGAACATATTCTCTGTTAAGGCTTTAGGAAGGAAAAAACCTCTCCATTCCACCCCCAAAATGACATTTTCTTTGCAACTCTCAACCTTCTATGTGAGGGGTGCCGTTTTTCGTAAAAAAACATCTCACAACTAGCTTCATCTTTCCAGGGGGTTCAACAGTAACATTTCTGTTGTGTTTTATTTCATCTCTGGATTATCTTATATGGTTGTCTATTCCTGCCCGATTGCCAGTATGTCGAACTTGTGACAATACATTTAAAATAATATCATGGTCAACTTTGATTATGTTGGGTTTTTGGGAATATAGGCTAAGCCATAGAATATTGTTCTTTATAGAGTGGAATAGCCATTTAGAATTCAAGTAAGTGACCCCAACTGATTGGGACACACGACTTTGGTTTGGTTTGGTTTGGTAGAGGGAACAATTGATAGCTCTCTGTTTTGCAATTGTCTACTTTTCAATGGTTTCATTGGCAGGAAAAAAAAAATGCTTAGATTCTATGAGGGTTTTCTACATTAAAAGACAAACTTGAAATAGAAAGCTCACTAGAAAAGCAATTCTCATTAAAATCTCTACCCTGCTTCTAATACATTCCCAATTCCTACAACTAGTGCCAACTGTTGGAACTACACAACAATCAATTCAACATATACACATTCTTTATATGGCATCTTAGCAAAATCTGCCTATTTAAGAGAAACTATTGCCATTTATCATTAGTTTCAGAGTGACAACTGGGGACTCTGGATGTTAAAATAGATTTCCCAATCAAGATAGCAAGAGTGGCTTAATAATCGGGCTTCTGCTAATACCACATATACACATCTCAAGTGGTTGAATAAACTTCGTATCACATATAAAATTGAGAGCTGACAAATCAATTGAAAAAAAAAAAGTGCATACTGAGAAAGGTTCTCTGCTTGACACCATCAATTGAGTCAGTTATGCTTTCAACCAAAGCAGACAAAATACAAAGAAGATTTGAATCTTAAAATTAACAGAGATGGCCCCTGATCCTTTCATAACAAGTGTTGTCTCTGAAGGTGTTGTATTGTTAATCATATAAGGCACGAGTATAATTGAAGAAATTATTGTGCCAGCACAATCTCACTTTAGCATCAGTGATTAAGAGAGATTGAACAAGAAGAATAAAAGCGATTTCCTAATTTCCATTAGTTCAACTCGACATGATCTATGATATTGTTGACGACAATCAGGTATTCAAGAAGTCAGATCTGAATTTAGATAGTGCAGTTAAAATAAAATCAAGGAACATATTTGGGATGTTACCAATCATAGTCATGCTTTCCTCCTTCGGTCGATGACAATAGATCATCCATTCCACTCCTAGCCAATTTTGCAGACCCAACTGAAAGTCTCCCAAGTTTCACTGAAACACAACACAATAGCTATTCAATATAATATAAACCATTTCCAAGTCTAAAAAAAAACCAACAATTGGAAAATTTATTTTAATAATCCAAAAAAATATATGTATATATATACATATATATTAAAAATTAAAAGTATTTTGGATTCATTATGAACAACCGACTCAGAAACGGCGTCGTGATAGACGTTTTCCAATGAAAGAGGACACCAGAGAAGTATCATTTTCAGCTTGTTAAATCATCCAATCTCTGTGAAAAGAAGCAAATAATGCTAACTGGAAGCCGACAAATCAAATCAGAATTAAAATGAACAAGTTTACATGTATTTTATAATATTATCAAGTATCAACGGACCAGTCTTCCTCCAAATTAAAATAAATAAATCAAAGTTCATGAGCGTGTTTCATTCAGTAAACAATAACGAAACACAGTGAAATGGATGAAGATTCGTACAGTCCGATTCGTCGGAGGAAGCGACGGAGAGACTCCGACGGTTCCGAGAGAAGAGATCCAAGTTCTCGTCGGTATCCCTGGAGATACCGGTGAGGCTGAGACCACGTCGGTGCTGCGTTCTCGTCGGAATATTCCTTCCGGCGGCCAGAGATTCCTTCAAAGTCCGATTCATATCTAGGAATGGAGGACCAAAACCATCTCCAAAGCAGAATATGTGAAGAAGAGTACGAGAGAGAATCAGTTATTAGAGAGAGAGAGAGAGAGAGAGATGCAGTAGATGCAAAGCCACACACGGAGCTTGTTGTGATGTTTACGTCACCAAATTTTGAGAGAGAGAGAGAAGAGAGAGAGCGAGTATAGATCTATACTGGGTGGGAGGGAGCGGTTGGGAGTTTTTGAGGGGGAAGAGAATAATGAGAGAGAGAGAGAGAGAGAGAGAAGTAACCCCTAACTCAACTGTATGGGGGTGGGGTGGCATGGTTACATTACAGATAAACTTTTGATAACCAAAATAGTACCAACGTGTCACACACACGCTCTCTCTCTCTCTGCTAAGCTAAGCTGTCTCCATGTGATTAGTACTTCAAATCTCGGATCCCCAACCTTACTGCTCATTTGATTTTAATTATTCTTATCAAAGTATTAGTAATAATGTATATCTTCACGGGTTTATTTGCATTTTTGTTATCATATAATCATCATCCTGATTATTTACACAAAATCAATGTCAGCTGTTGTCATCCTAACTAGTCCATTGAGGTTTTGTTTCACATGAGTTATTTTAATTAAATCAATAAATAACAATATTAGGTATTATAAAAAATATTTTATGAAAATGATCATGAAATATTTTTGATCTTTAAATTAAATATATAATAAATTACAAAGTGTAATACAAGGATGAAGATTCATTCATGATCATTTTCATGAAGCATTTTTCATGATACTTAACATTTTTCATAAATAAATAAAGATAAAATATATTAAAATTATATTATATTTAAATTATAATTATGTTATTTTTTTTTTCTTTTATAATTATCAAATCAATAATTAAAAAATTAAAATTTATCTTAAATATAATTTTTTAATCAAATTAAAATAATTAAAAAATCAAATTAAATTAACTCATCCAAACGAAGGCTGAGTTAGGACCATTTATTATTTATACTTTTTTAAGTTTTTGTAAAATTTAAAACCAGAGAAATTTGAGATATATGTTTGGCGTTTAGATTAAAATAGTCATAAAATGACAAAATAAATTAAAAAGTAAATAAGATAAAATATAACATCCAAACTATAATTATTTTATTTTTTCTCAAACAAAAGTTAAAAAAATTAAAAAGTATATTCCAAATGAGATTTTTTAATCTGAAACCAAAAAACTAAAAAGCCAAAAAATCAATCCACATTCCAAACGAAAACATAATTGTATAATTTCAGAAAAAAAAATATTAGTGATTTTAATTATTAAAATTGAGTGTTTTTCACACAATATAGTGTATATTTAGACACAAAGAGGCCTTGTTGTGTAACTTATAACCATGGGATCAAAAATTGGAAAAAACCTCTCATTTTTTTTTGAGCATTTAAATATTTTATGAATAAAATCGAAATTAAAAAATGGAGATTTAGAATTACTTTCCATTGCAGTTGAAAAATCAATATGCATGATGATGGCCCATCAAACGACATACCCCCATAGGGCATAGGGGGTGACTTTATACGCAGCAATAAAAAATTGGGATTTTTTATAGGCAGTATGACTTAGCTTAACTTAAAATGCTTGACTACTTGTGGTTAGTAGGTAAAAATAAGGTGGATGGTGGCGATAGATGAAAAGGACCAAAAAAAAAAAAAATTTAAAGAAAGATAAAAAATAATAATACACTGTGAATTTGAAAAAAAAAAAATCAAATCAATGATAAAATTTATGAACTTTAATTATTAAAGTGTTAAACTTTTCCAACAATTTGTAATTATTTGAATCAAGCGCATCACTTATTTAGAATTCTTATCCCCTATCTAAAAATCTCGAGATTCCGGTATTATCGTACCATATCTCGGCAATACCGTAACCATCTCGGCAATCTTGCTTGTCCAGGTGACACCTTGGCCAACACCTCAACCACGGCACGCGACCCTAAAAATACGTCCCCACAACTGCCTCTTAAGTTCCATTACCTCGGCAACCTAAGCCGATGGAACCTGTATCGTTTGATCTTCTAACATGTTGGCTAAACAACATGCTCAAGATGCTCCTCCAGCCGAGATCATGACTACTGAGTTCAAGAATATCAAGAATCCCAACTGCACATAAGCTGTCACACATAATTATCTCAACTATTTCATCCACGTGTCATCACCTGATTGGTTTGTACTTGTCACGCGTTAGGTGCATCACATCAATTCTGTCTCACGCCGCCTGATGTCAGCACAGGCACATCTTCCCAAACGTTTGAAATGATTCATTGCCGCCTTTTCGTTTTTCAAAAAAACTGTTTCCCCTTCTCTCCGCCTTTTCACTTTTGCATTCACCATTCTCTATTTTCTCAAACTTTCTCTCTCCAGACCTCCATTACCAAACTTCGAAGCTCTCTGCAACCAAGCCGCTCCACCGTCTTCGGTACCTGTTCAACCATAATGTTCCAATCAAACGCACCATTTGACTTCGGCAAGCACGGTTCCGGCATTCGTTTCTTCAATTTCACTCTGTAAGCCTTCCATTCTTCTCAATTTCAGTTCCATTACACTTTTTAATTTCTTCATGTTCTTGAACTTGCCTCCATGTTTTCTAGGGAAATCAAAACCAATTGAATCCCGAAATCCCCTTAGTTTTCCAAAACCTTCATCCTAGTATTCCTTGGGGTTTCGCCGAGGTTCATAGGTCGCCACAAACACTTCTGAACAAAAAATCGTATCAAACTTACTTAACCAAGGTCATTGGTATGTTCAAATGGAGGGTAGATATAACAACCCCGACCTGTGATTAGCCTATAACCTATGATTAAGAATGCCTAATAAGTAATTAAGAAGAAATTCTGAATTAATTACATGTGTATTGCATTATTTGTGTTTATATCTGTTTGTTATAGAAAGATCTATCAGTGTTTCTGTTTCTTAATGCGAATTGAAGGTCTTACCGGCATCCGATCACGAAATTGACTCAGTATATGTGTTATTTAGAATTTTTAGAATTTTATGATAGATTCAATTGAAATTTGATTCAGAATCAAATAATTAGAATAAAATAATGCCAACTACTTGGCCTAAACCAAGCTTAATTAAGGAAACATAATCAAGCCTATATAAGGCTCCTAGATTACAAAACACTCTCATTTTGTCATCCTTGAGAGCAAAAACGTGAGAGAGAAAGAGACCAAGAGAGATTGAAACCAAAAAGGAAGAAGAATAAGGAATTAGCCTGAACTAAGCTAGAAACTAGAAATTTGGAAAGAACAACTTGGAATTCTTGCAAATTAAGACTTCAAGGTAAGACATCAACCTTTTAGTTATGCAACTGAGTTGTAAAGCATGTGAAAGTAAGTGAACTAGGTGAGTTAGCATGAGAATTGAGCTTAGGTGTAGAAATTTGGGAATAGTTCATGCATGCTTGCATAATTCATGAAGTTTTGAATTCAATTCCAAACATTCACACATGCATGAAGCTTTACTTGCATACTTTGAAGAATCCAACTTGGTTTCACTTGAATTCCTTTAATTGTTCATGTTTTAGAAGCCTTGAACTTGCATCATTACATGCATGTTGTATATACATACAGTTCAAGTTTGTTTTTGGATAATTCACTTGCTTTTGGGCCTTGATTTTGCAAAATGATCTTTAATTCATAATGTTTTATCAGTTTGTATATGTTTCCTCAAATTTTAGGCCCAGAAGGATGTGTTTTCTTTGTTTGAATTTGAGTTTTGAAGCTTAAAAAGCAATCTAGAAATTCTAGAATTCTGCATTGCTGCTCGAGCGACCAAAGCTGTGCTCCAGTGACCACCCTTTGCTTTTCATCTCAACTCGTGCGAGAAGAAGTTGGCTCGAGCATAAAATTCATGCTCCCAGAAGTTTTACAAAATTTTGCAGACCACTTAAGCGACAAAAGTTGTGCTCAAGTGAAGACCCTATTTACTCATTCTTGCGCTCGAGCGACCGTCGAGCATCCGTCGAATGGAAAAATCATGCAACCAGTGCTTTTGCAAAGTTTTACAAACCGCTCGAGCGACCAAAGTTGCGCTTGAGTGACCACCCTTATTTTTGAACCTTAGCTCAAGCAAAGGAAGTTGCGCTTAAGTGATGATCCTGTTTTCAACAAATTTGACTAAGTGTTTCGAATCACATTTTGGCACCCTCATTGCATTATAGGTATTCTTAAGTCCTAATTAAGACATAATAATGAGGATATGACTTAGAAACACACTAAGAACGAAACGTAATGAATTAAGTATTTTCCGAGTATATGTTTCAGTGTGCATCTGTTATCTGTCTGTGTAAGTCACACGCCGTAAGCTATTTGATTTGTCTGCTCTGTCTGTTTACTTCTGGAGCCATCTGTGAGTAATAACTTAGTAAAGCTATGTTCAACTTTATTTATTTTTTTATGATAAAATAAGATCTTTTTTCTGAAATGTTATGTTCTATACAATGAATGATTGTCTAATTTTTGAAATGTATTCGTGGCATCCTTAGCATATCTGTTAGCTGTTACCTGGTATCGGAGGTTCCATTATGGAATTTAGTAAATCTGTAATCTGTTACCCATACCGGAGGCTCCATCATGGAGCTCAGCATATCTATTATCTATTACCCGGATCCGGAGATTCCTTTATGGAACTAGTTACTTATAACCACCATCTGTTCTATATCTGCTTTGTATTTGTTTTGTATTTGCTCTGTTAACGCTAATGGATGTACCACGCATGATTAAGCATGAACTCTAATTTCTATATATGATTTGAATAGGAATGTGAATATGGATATGCTTTTGTTTCTGAGATAAATATGAATCTGCTTTCCGAATTTGATATGGGACATCATTCATTTAAGTCCTCTTACTCTGTTATTATTCACTAGGCTCTCGTCCACAGTATTATTTATATATGTGAGTGATCAGGTGCGCAATCAAGCCCAATGATGAATCCTTGGAATTCTATTTTGTCGACCAACCTTTGTGCCTCTTGAGAAGGTTCTGAAAAAGTCATGTGGTCGTGTTTTGTGAACTAAGTTTAAGACTTCGCTTTCTTTTTGTAAAATTTGAACAAGTTTCTATTTATCTGTATATTGGGCTAAGTCCCCTTTTGGTTTTACCTGTAAATGTGTGTGACATAAGACTAATGTAAATCTGACGTCACATGTGTGTACATAAAGTTTTAAATTTATGTCTCATGTATGTCTGTAAGGCTCAATAGACTATGTAT